CAGCAGCAGCAGTAGCGGCCGCGGCGGCAGCAGCAGCAGCAGCAGTAGCGGCCGCGGCGGCAGCAGCAGCAGCAGCAGCAGCAGCAGCAGCAGCAGTAGCAGCAGCAACATCGAGTAAAAGTGAAAACTGAAAAGGGTTCGTTTTATCGCGTCCGCTCTATACAGCATATATATAATCTATATAGTATATAATATATATAAGCACTTATTGTCAGCAGTAACCAGAGTAACCAGAGCGGAGTATTCTTAACGAACACACACAGTTACTGTACCTTGCCAACTAATTTACGGATTGAAGATATGACTTCACAAGTAACTTACAATATATTGTCAGCGATATACAACTATAACACGACACAGCGGATGTTCTTAGCCAAGTACAATGCAGGCGTATGATGTAAGTGTATGATGTAAGTGTATGATGTAAGTGTATGATGTAAGTGTATGTGTAAGTGATGTAAGTGTATGAAATGGAGATCTATCTCATCTGCCTCTACGAGCCACAGAAAGGCTCATCAAACACTGATACCCAGAGAAAGTTATAGGTCAAAAAAATCCGACCTTACTAACGAATACAATACATATTCGATAATCATTTTCATAAGAACACACTCAAATCATCAGCAAATTATCTTGTACAATTTATTATACAATTATTAGTCAGTGCACGCGTATAGGCCCAAACATGCAATCCCACCCGACTAACGAATACAATACATACTAGATCATCTTTTTTTTCATAAGAACACGCTGAAATCAGATGAACGACAAGTACATTATCTGTGACGACACCGCGCGAACAATGAACGCCGGAGTCTAAATTCACGCCCAGGCCTGCGTCGATCACAGGCACTTAAAGCGTTTCAATAAAATATAATGCTAAATAAATACGAAATCTATTTACTACCAAAGTCTTAATGTTTCTCTACTCTCTTTCGCCTATTAGTATTATTGCCGACAATTTCCTGTAAATGCCGTGCAAATGCAACACACATGTACACCGCACGCACGCTGGCGCACACTGACACACATATATAGTCGCAACCAAGTGCCTGGGTGAACAATGAACGTCGGAGTTTCAATTCACGGGTGGTGGTGTTGCTTCATCTGCTGGAGAGTGTATAACATCTGTTTCGCACAGCTTACAATCCCATCGAACATCATACATTATCTCGTGATTCAATTTAGCAAATGCTGAGGGATTACGAGCAACTAATTTTAGCAGCTGAATAACAATGAGACGATGCAGCGTCCGACCACAGTTCGGCGAGCGATTCAGCGTATAGTTAGTTGCTGATGGTAATGAGCTTACGTAATGAGGAGCGGTATGTGTGCACGCTGCACTGAAATCGTTCGCATCTGCAGTGACGTATGCACCTCGGAATGTGACGTCAGTGTGTCACGATGCTGCTGCTGATGATGTTGATGATGAGGGTGATCATGAAGATGATGATGATGATGATGGTGGTGATGGTGGTGGTGGTGATGATGATTATGGTGGTGATGGTGGTGGTAGTGATGATGATGATGATGATGATGATAATAATGATGGTGATGATGATGATGATGATGATGATGATGATGATGATGATAATAATAATTATAATAATAATAATAATAATAATGATAATAATAATAATAATAATAATAATAATAGTAATACTACTACTACTACTACTACTACTACTACTACTACTACTACTACTACTACTACTAATACTACTACTACTACTACCACTACTACTACTACTACTACTACTACTACTACTACTACTACTACTACTACTACTACTACTACTACTACTACTACTACTTCTATACTACTATGCCTCTTTACTCACTACTACTAAGTACTACTACTACTAATAATAATAATCGTTAACTCGATGAAGGCGTTCTGCCACTCTATATACACAACAAACAGCTGAATTTTAACTGGCGACCGAAAAAGCAGGTGTCATTGGCGGTGTTTCGGAGACAGAACCTGCGCGTTTTTTTCCGCCAGCACTCGCCCGTGCAGGTGCAACTTGTTTTCAAATGACGGCTCTCATTTTTCAGAGATATCACCGCAACGTAAATTCCAATTAGATCGGTCTGTATAAGCATGGCGGAGGCTGCGGCTGCTGCTTGGCTGTCGGCGCATCAAAGGCAGTGCGACGGACAGCCCGCAATCCGTCTTAATGATATTTCGTCTGTTCGAGCGAATAAACATTCGATTAAAACAGAATAAAGCGCAGTTTTCTTTTCTTTTTAACCCGAGCGTCGGATAAACTAACTGCCCACGTTAGACGAACTCATTCTTAGCATGATCACCTAGAGTGAGTCGGGTGCCCAAACTACGGCCCGCTGGCCAACTGCGGCGGGAGTGTCTATATTCAGCCCGCGTTACGAGATTACCTGGTACGCATATAGTTGCTAACTATATTGGGACTAATCCGCGTCAATAACTCAATATTCACAGGAGAGTATAGCTAAGACATGTGGTCTATAGGTCATGTCTAGAATATAATTATGCAAATGATCTCCCGTACCGGGCCTTAGAATTCATATTATCGTCCTGTGAATATTTGAGTTATTGACGCGACGAGTTAACGTCAATATAGGCAGAATATAGGTGCCGCGCGGAAGTGAATGGACAGATGTATTAAATTTCTAAAATTCTATGATACTATTAGACACATTGCCTCTTTTAGGCTAGTTACTCTCTTGTGAATATTAGTTATTGAGCGACTTAGTCAATATATTTACGCACAATATATTGCGTACGTAATCTCTGTCACCGGTGAATATAGACAAACCCAACTGCGGCCCGTGGAACATTTTTTGCGGACCGCGGCACATTCTAGAAATGAAATGGAATGCGGCCCGCATTAGAAATGGAATGGAATGCGGCCCGCATTAGAAATGGAATGGAATGCGGCCCGCATACGTGCACTTGACTGTATTAATTGTACTTCTTAGTTTTAACACTAGGTGGGGCTACCGTATTTATTGGAGACTCTTCAACAATGCAATGAAGCTTGTCCACCAAACAAAATCAATCAAAGAAAATTTACCACGACCAAAATGACAGAACCCAATAAACGCAAGGTAGCTAGCAAGTGCAGAAAATTTCAGACTCGATGGGAAAATGAATATTTCTTCGCAGAAGTCAAGGGAAAGTGTGTCTGTTAGATATGCAATGAAACGGTTGCAGTAATGAAAGAATACATAACGTACGACGACACTATGAAACTAAACATGCAGAAACCTTCATGTCCTACACTGGTGCTGTTAGAGACGAGAACATTAAGCAAATGGCAGCTAGCCTGCGAGCTCAACAACAGGATTTTTTCCGAAGAAAATGCTACAATCGCTGGCTATGAGGTAGCTCAGCGGATGGTGACTTCATAAAACAGTGCCTCACTAAAGTCGCAGGAATAATCTGCCCGGAAAAGATGCAAGAATTCAACAACGTGAGTATGTCCAGAAATACAGTGGTGCGCCACATCGAAGACTTGTCAGCTAACTTAAAACAGCAGGTGTCACAGAAAGCTTGTGATTTTGATTTTTACTCGATTGCATGTGATGAGAGAACAGACGCTACGGACACCGCACAGCTGTTAATTTTTTTGGCGGGGAGTGGATGACAACTTTTGCATTACGGAGGATCTGCTTGATCTCAAGAGCCTGAAGGGCACAACAACAGGTAAGGACATTTTTGAAGCTGTTTCAGATGCAGTTGACAAGATGAAACTTAAATGGGACAAGCTGTGTGGAGTTACAACAGGTGGGGCTCCAGCTATGACAGGCGAGCGCAAAGGAATTGCCTCCATGGTGTGCGCAAAGATGCGAGAGAGTGGAGGTGAAGCTGTTAAAATGCACTGTATCATCCACCAAGAAGCCCTCTGTGCCAAGACAGTCCAACTTGAAGATGTGATGAACACAGTTGTGAAAACTGTCAACATAATCCGAGCACGAGGGCTATACCACAGAAAATTTCAAGCTTTCCTATCCGACGTAGATGCTGAATACGGAGACGTACTCTACCATTCAGAAGTGCGCTGGCTCGGCCGCGGCTCCGTGCTGAAGCGGTTTTATTCCCTGCGATCTGAAATCGACCATTTCATGAAAGAGAAGGACCGACCTCTTCATGAACTGAGTGACCCTCTATGGTTGGCAGACCTGGCATTTCTAGTTTTATCTTACTGAACATCTGAACACACTGAACAAGAGCCTGCAAGGCAAAGACCAGCTTGTGTCACAACTATATGCACACATAAAAGAATTCTGTGTGAAGCTTCGTCTCTTTGAAACGCAATTACAAAACTTAAATGTTGCTCACTTCCCCACGTTGTCCGAAATCACATGTGCTTTTCCACAGGCCAACCTTTCTGCTGAAAAGGGCAAATATGTATCTGTCATAACATCTCTCAAGGCAGAATTCAGTAAGCGATTCCAAGACGTCTCTGTCATTGAGAAAGAAATCGAGCTGTTCTCAACGCCCTTTCATATGGATGCAGAAAAAGTGGAAGAGAGTCTGCAATGAGAACTTATCGAAATGCAGTGTGATGATTCTCTGAAGAACCAACATCAGCTTCTCTCCCTACGCAACTTCTACCGGAGCTTGGAAAGGCCAAGTTTCCACTGATGCGGCACCACGCAAAAAGAATGATGTGAGCAATAGATATAGCACTAGTGCAATAGTGCATACATATGTGAGCAAACATTTTTTCTCTGATGACTCTGAACAAAAGCAGACTGAGAACCAAAATGTCCGACAACCATCTCTGTGATGTCCTTCGCATCTCAACCACCAAACTTACTCCTGACCTGCCAGCCATTCTTCAGTCCAAAGCGCAGCTTCACCACTCCCACTAAGACGTGCAACGCTGTTCCCATTATGTATGTAAGTTAAAATATTTTATTATACATAATATTCATCTGTTGACAAGCCAATTTACTTCAGCCAATTAAAGTTGATAATATGCTCTAACAAACGTTGGTTGGTGTGTTAACAATCCCATTAACTTGTTTGCATAACTAACTTAATTAAAAACTTGCAAAACCTATTAATGGAAAGCTATGGTGTAGGCGTTTTTCTTCCTCTTTTGAGCATATTCAGTTATCAAGCACATGCAGTTTACATACATTTGATTGATTTTGTTAATAGTGGCCCAGCCTTGCGTATATTTTTCTGTATTTGGCCCTCAGTGAAAAAAGTTTGGACACCCCTATTCTAGACGAATCATTCTCAATCTGACTTAGTACATCCGATGTATATAAATAACTAAATAAA